GGTATAAACAACTCAATAACACGTATGTACTAACAGCTTACTAGTTGTTTGAAAAAATAATACAAATAAATTAAAAGAAAAACAGTATTTTTATTTCATTCTTAAATAACCCCAAATACTAATGGGATGTGTGTTAAACTGTGCACTCTAATGTTTCTCAAACTTTGGAGTAAGATTGGACACCATCACCCATTCCACGTTGATTTCACTTAGTATTTGCTCTTTTAAAATTGTGGTAAAATATATACAGCATAAAAGTGATCATCTTAGTCATTTCTAAATGCACAGTTCGGTGGCATTAAGTATATTCACATTATTGTGCGACCATCACCATTACCCATCTCCAAAACTTTTTCATCTTCACCAACTGAAACTCCATACCCATCAAACGCTAACTCCTCATGTCCCCTTTCCCCCAACTCCCAGCAACCACCATTCTTTCTGACTCTATGAATTTGACCATTCCAGGAACTTCATACAAGAGGAATCATACAATACGTGTCCTTTTGTGACTGGTGTATTTCATTTAGCATAATTTCCTCAAAGATCATCCATGTTGTAGCATGTGTCAGAACTTCCTTTCTTTTTCAGGCTGAATAATATTCCATTGTATGTATATACCACATTGGGTTGCTTCTTCCTTTTGGCTATCATAAATAATGCTGCTGTGGACATGGGTGTAAAAAGTACTTGCTTCTTCTAAATTACAATTCCTGAAAACAGAGCTTCTCAAAGATATGATGTCACCAAAAGGAACATAGCGCAATTTACTGTTGAAACTGTCAACCTCCTCAACCTAGTAGTTTGACCGGTGTCCAAAGGATACCACATATCCCTGTTTCCTTCTAAATTTAAAATACCCTGTGACTCCCCAAGTTCACAGTGGCACTCCAGTGACCTTAATACACTGTTTGGGAACCACAATCCATGATGTTAAAGCCACTGTTATTTGAGTTTTCAACTGAGCAGAACTCAATTTTTAAATAATATAAACATTAATATCAAATGTATACTTCTCATGAGCTTTCCATCAAAGATTCTTCAGTCTTCAAGTCAGATGCTTGTCTGTGTAGCAATTCTTAGGTAACTTAAATTCTCCGTATACAGCTCTACTGCTTCCCTAAGAGTTGCTATAATCATTTTTAAAGCTTAGAAAATGCCTTTTCTTAGCTGCCATGTAAACTGTACCTTGCCCCAAAGCAATGATACTGCTTTGGTTAAAATTTATGTGTCAAATTGACTGGGCCACTTGGTGCCCCTATATTAGGTCCAACACTACTCTGGGCATTTCTATGAGAGTGTTTTTGGGTGAGATTAACATTTAGTCAGTACACTGAGTAAAGCATATTGCACTCCCTAATGTGGGTGATTCTCAGCCAATCAGTTGAAGTCCTGAATAGAACAAGGTTGACCCTTGCCCCTGACAAGAGAAAATTCTTCCTGCCTGATTGCCTTCCAACTGGGACACTGGTTTTTTTCTTGCCTTTGAATTCAAACTGAAACATCAGCTCTTCCTGGATCTTGAGCCTGCCAGCCTTCAGACAGGGACTACATCATGGGTTCTGCTGGTTCTCAGGCCTTCAGACTCAGACTGCAATGAAACCATTGGCACCCCTGGGTCTCCAACTGACTGACTCTCCCTGTAGATCGTGGAACTTACCACTCTCCATAATCCAAAGGGCCAATTTCTTACAACAAATTTCTTTATATATACATATACACACACACACACACACACACACAAATATACACATATAGATATGTATCCTATTCATCTATTTCTCTGGAAAACCCTAACTAATAAACCCACAAGAGTCCCATGTTCCATCAGTGTCCTCAAAATGGATCCAAACTCCTTGGCACATCATTCATGGCCCTTCCTCTGGCTTCTGCTGATTCCTCTCCAGCTTCATCTCTTACCAGGGTTTTCTGTACCCCTGTCCATGTGGAACCAAGTGGAAGTCCATGAAATGCACCAGGATTTCTCCCCTCCAGGTTTTGAGTGCATTTTTCTCCCTTCCCAGAATAAGTTCCAGACAACCCCCCCAATTCACACATATGCGTGCTCACACACACACACATACACATACACACACACACAGGACATGCACTTTGCATGACTGCAAAGCTAGCTCTTCCCCTTCCAATTATCTGCCTATATAGCACAGGCCAGAAACCCTTCTATGTGGCCATATCAATCTGAGTGTATCCCTACTGGAATCCTTACTGTACTGTTTTGTTTGTTTTTGTTTTTGTTTTGAGATGGAGTCTTGCTCTGTTGCCCAGGCTGGAGTACAATCTCTGCTCACTGCAACCTCCGCCTCCCAGGCTCAAGCAATTCTCCTGCCTCAGCCTCCCGAATACCTGGAATTACAGGTACCCACCACCACACCCGGCTCATTTTTGTATTTTTAGTAGAGGTGGGGTTTCACCATGTTGGCCAGGCTGGCTTCAAATTCCTGACTTCAAATGATCTGCCCGCCTCAGCCTCCCAAACTGCTGGGATTACAAGCGTGAGCCATCGCACCCACCTCCTGTGCTGTATTTTAACTGGCCATTTATTTGTATGAATTATCCAACTCCTTGAGGGAAAGGACTATGCTTTATTGGCTATTGCATCTCCAGAACAGTGGCTCACCCACAATATATGCTCAATAATTATTTGTAGAGTAAATGATCAAAATTCAAACAATCCTAGATCACCACCCTCAACCAGTTATTGGCTTAGTATAGGAATTGTCAACCAAGACCTGGAAGAAATGATACATTCAGACACTTCTCGTACCATCTAGACCACTGATGGTATCTAAGCTCCAAAGCTAGAGGTGATAATAATACAGCTGTCCTCCACCCATCATTTGTGCCTATGCATGTCCCAACCATGCAGATCCAGGAGGAACGCTGTAAGCTAGGAAGCTGAGCAAGGAAACAAAAAGCAACAGGGAAAGGAATCAGGAAGCAGCACTACTTCTGACAGGCATTTCAAGGTATATCGACCCTGAGAATTCACTAGCCCTTAAGCACATGAGGTTTTTTTAAAAACATGGCTTTAATTACAGCCACTTCTGACTGCCATCAAAGTTAGTATTCCCAAGCTCCTTACTGGCTGGTGCCTCTGAAGTTACTTACTCTTTCTAGACCTTAGTTTGCTTATCAGTTAAATAACCATAGCATACAACTCAGTGCTGTTTGAGGAATAACTGAGACTATGTATTGGAAAGCACTTAACACGGTGCCTGACATATGCTGTTATGATACAATAAAGGCAAGTTATTAATATTATCACCATTATTATTGTCAGTCAGGGTTGCAAACACAAGTACATATAAAAGCAAGCTACAGTTCACTAGTCAAGCATGAGCTAAAAGGTTTTACCGGGCCTCAGCCCCTGAAAATCTAAACACCTAAATTTAACATGAGGGAACTTAGCTTGCCACACCATGGACATAGCAATCCGACAATGAGAAACCTATTTTGGATGTAGCCCCAGGAAAACTTTTTCCCATACTTATACTAAATATCAGTACCTCTAAGAAATAAAATGATTCAAAACTAATCTAGACCAAAAAAAAAAAAGAAGAAGAAGAAGAATAAATAAATTAAGGCTGGGCACGGTGGCTCACGCCTGTAACCCTAGCACTTTGGGAGGCCAAAGCGGGCAGATCACTTGAGCTCAGGAGTTGGAGACCAGCCTGGGCAATATAATGAAATCCTGTCTCTAAAAAAAAAAAAATTAGCCAGGCGTGGTGGCATGCACCTGTGGTCCCAGCTACTTGGGGGACTGAAGCAGGAGGATCACTTGAACCCAGGAGGATGAGGCTGCAGTGAGGCCAAGATCATGCCACTGTACTCCAGCCTGGGTGACAAAGTGAGATCCTATCTCAAAAAATTAATTAACTTAAAAGGCGCATGTATGTTTAGTGCTATTGTTTTTTTTAAACCTGCCCATTTACACCAATCCAAACACAGAAATACACTGACACTAAAACAAACAACTTTTTGGCTACTTGCCTGATAGGAATCATTATTCATCTTAATTAACTGAATGAGTGGCTATTCTGAAGGTTGCTAGTAATTCTATTTGGTGGTGTAAGCATTTTTAACATAAACATTTAAGACGGAATGCTAAAACTACCTTAAGGAATATATAATTGTGCAATTTTATACAGCAAAGCTATATTTCACGTGGGGTACATGCTCTTTCTCTAAATACATACGTCATCTACAATATAACCTCATTAATTCAACATCAATTTCTAGAAATAGTGTGTCATTCAAATAACTTGCTATTCACCAACAATTATTGTTTAATTTAAAATATATGGTAATTCAAACGCTACTGAATTAAAAGCACATTCTCTCTGCACTTCAAATTGACCAGGTTTTCTAGTTCTCCACAAGCACAAAATACATCTTTTCATTATTCCCTTCTAGCTTGCTTCCCTCTTGCTGTATTATAAAAATTATAGGTTTTGCTCTTAAAGTAATTTTTCTTATCACTGATATGTACTGATTCTTCATTTTATTGGCTATGAAAATTTCTCCCTTTTTTTATCATTTTCCTTCTACACTGAACTTTTAGCACTGGCATAAAGACAGTTCCAGTCACTCTTCTTGTCCATGGCCTGGAGCATTCAGCCCCCAGGGAACCAGGACAGAGCTACATGTATCTGGAGGGCAGAATCTTGCTAAACCAGCATTTACCCTTCCACCACAACCACCCAGCCTGCCTCCCTATTTCTTATCTTTCTATCTTACTGTTACTCTGTTTCACAGTCCCAGGAGATGTCTCATACTCAGCATTTACCACTGTGGTCCCTTCCCCTTCAATACATACACACCCACTCCCTTACTGAGCAAGCTATATATCATTATGAGACCATCAACTTTGACCCTGACACTGAATCATGTATTTTTCCATAGGATTTGCTCGCAGAAAATGGGATGGGGGAGAAAAAAATTGTTTCCATTTTTAAAAGGTCCCAGAAAAACAATCCTACCTTTCCCAGGATTTGGAGGAAAAGGGCTTCCAAACTCCTGCTGCTTTGGCTTTAAAGTATGTGACCCTGACATGCCTCCAGCCTGGGTGACCTGGAATCGCAGCTTCCCATTGGTGAGCATTTGTCTCCTGGGGCTTAAGGCAGGCAGATGAATGGGGCTCTCAGCCACGATGTTCTGAGGAGCCATCCCTCCTCCTGAGGGCATCTTGAGATGGAGGTTGTTAGCAAGGCTTCCCATAGTGGGGCTTGATGTGCTGCCACAGGGCGAGGGGCCAGGAGTCCCGGAGTGGGCTCGGATGGCAGGAATGTGGTGGCCACTGACCATCCTAGGCCCCTGTGGGGTTCCCGATGTCCGGTGGAGACTCATGCTGCATGATCTTCCATTCATTCTGAAAAACCTGTGGCCAAGATGGTCAAATATCCAATGTCACTAATGACTCCTTTCAGGCAAAGTCCAATAAGTTATCCATGGTGTGGGTTATAAGCCTGTTTAAAAAAATAAATGCAGGCATTTTTAAAAGCAAAAATGAAAATAAGATACGGTGAGTTTTTCAACCTGTATATCATTCATATCAGGAAGAAAAGAAGCACTCTTAGCAAGATGGCCTTTTATGTAGAACAGGGTCCTCAAATACATGGCTCATTGGCAGGCACTCTCCCCTTCTGCATTCACGGTGGACATGGATTATGGATCACTGCATTGTTTTGTTTGCCACTGAGCCCTTCTCAATACAGCGCTCTTGGCAACTACAACAATCTACTGGTGCCAGCTTGCAAAACAAAATTTATTTTGCTCCCTGGAGGATCTTTCCATACTAGTTCATTTTTGCTACAGCAGGTCTTGGGAAACCCAAAAGCACCACCTACATGAGCTGTGAGACCAATGCTTCAAAGTTCCAGTAAACAACCACAAAGCAGACACGGCTTCTAAATGAGACTATGGGGACACTAAACCATCTCTGATTTTCACTTTAAGAGCTATCTTTTCATAGTCCCTAGATTCGAAAAAGATAAACACCTAGGCCTGGGAATACCACAAAATTTTCATATATCCATATATTCAAATATACATGGCAGCATTAGGGTATTGGTTCTATAATGATCCTGAGTTATGGAGACTGGAAGAGAATCAACACCACGATACTGTAACCTTCTACTAAAATCCTAGAAAAGAGAAGGGGTGTGCAAAACGCCATACGGGGAGCATAAGGAGAGAATGTCCCTTCTAAAAGCGACCTGTCCAGTATGTACATGATGCATGACACTCAGTAAATCTACCATAGTTCCATAAAGCTTCCTAACATTAAGGAAGCAGAACGAGAACCAAGAGAAGTACTGAACATGATAGCAGGATGTCATCACCCACCCACGTGATGACGCCGGGTTGTAAATTACTGAAGAAGGCCCTTCCCTCCCTTGACCAATAGCTCCCCAAAATGTATGCAATGAGGTGGTAAAGTGCCATGGTTGTGCCACTACACCAAATGTATTATAGACACTGTCACAATCTGTCTTTTAGAGATGACAGTCATGGAAAGAAGCCAAAGCTCGACAAACACAGGAAATAAGGACTGAGTACAAAGCAGGAGTGATCAGATATCCTCAAATGGATGATTCTTACTTTTTGTGTATGATCCACTCAAAGTGTTGAACAAACATTTTTCAACTCAACTTCCAAATAAATTACTCCATAAATAATTGAGAAAAGGCTATCAAGGAGAAAAACTTTTTGTGAAGAGTTTATTTTTCTTTTTATTTTTAGAAAATCAAAAATATCTAATTTTAACTCAAGCACTATGCCTTCTGCAAAGTTTCCTGTGTGTGTCTATGTTGAGGAAATTCAAAAGTAATTAACAATACAAAATTTAGAATGTTTTCTTCGTTCTTAGTAATTCTCTATTTTCACTAAGAATTACATCAGTTTGTGACATTTAATACTATCATGCCATCTAGTCCTGGAAAACACTCAACCATATTCCTCTAGGTCAGGTCTCACTCCTGCCCTGTTCTCCCATGAGTACAAAGCAGGAGTGACCAGATAACCTCAATTCTTACACTGGAAAAATTCCAATGCTTTTTATGGTACATTTATGTAGGAGAACTCCTGTGTGTCACCAGTCAGTATGCTGATCCATTCATTGGTAGATCATGAGCAATAGTCATTTAATGTCTCTGTACTTTGCCAGATAAAATTGGCCATCTATTTTCCTCTCATTGATAAAATAGTGTTTTCTGAGCACTCTGAACCCTGCAGAAGAAAGCACTTATTCAGCAGAAACCCCCCCGCCAAAAAAAGGCAAAAGAAATATGTCATATTAGCCAATTTTTTAAAATAAAGAATTGTTCAACATGACTGGAAATATGAGTCAGTAAGACCACGGTCCAAGTGACAAGTGTCTGCAGATTTTCAGACTGTGCCCATTTCCAGGTTTTTAAAAATAAGGGAGTCATTTTTTGGCAGCAAGATCATATACGAGCAGGAATTCTCATCAAAAACCTGGATAAAAACACATAAGGAGGTACTTAGCATTAGGCATGATCATTAAGAAGGTGAGTTTGCAAGAAGGAAAAATAATTAGAGCACTGAGAACTTAATTAAGTATCAGGCATTCACACCTGCCTGTCTTGCAATGAATATTTATTTCATTTTTTTTATAAACTACACTCCTGTTTTAAATAGTTTTAGGTTGAAAGTAAGAACAACAACAAAATGTACTTAAATTTTATTACTAAGAAAGCAACAGCCAGAAAGTAAAGTGATTAATACCATAAAGAAAAACCAACAGGCCAATGGCATGTGAGCTGAGCAAAACCAGCCTCAAGACAAAAATAAAAGAAACTAAACATGAAAATATGGCTAATATTCCACTTTTCACATTAATTATGCCAACAGATTTCTCAAACATTAGATATTAGAATGTAAAAATAAATTTCATCTATTTATATAATATTTTGCATACTTTTTAGCTAGGCCATATGATCAATATATAATTCTAAGGCACTTGGTAAGAAAAAAGGGATAAAATGCTATTATAACTTTTAAGAAAAGCACTCATAGAGTCTGAGTGAAATGGCACTCAAAAAGTCAAGATACCCGGGTTCTACTTCTGACAAATCATTTATAACTTCTCTGGACTTACAGTTTTTCATCCATAAAAGTTTGAGGAATTTGGATCTATTCACTATGGTCTCTTGAAATTCTGTTATTCCAGGCAATTTAGAAAAGACTATCAAGAACACCCATTTGCTATACTCAAGAATAAATATGTAGATTTTATACTTATGGCATTTAAATCTGGAGGGTAGACATGGAAGCAAAAAACAATAGCATTCTCTACTATCCCCATCAAAGTGAAAGCTGATACAAAGGCTTGCCCATCAGCAATGCGTCTATGGCAATGCTAACCATGAAGAATACATTTTGTCAAAAAGGTAAAATCACAACTAATCAGTGTCAAAAACTTAACTGATGGGATTCCATTGGAAGAGCACCTTTCTAGTTAAAAATCCAATCACAATATTCTAGTCAGCATTTTCTCCTCTGTTCTCCATCCAACTACTCTCCCCCAGGCTACCAACAACAAAAACAAAAGAAACAAGAAGAAGAAAAAGCAAGGAGCATCCAGAGGTAAAAATTTAGGATATTTTGGATCTGACATAGTGACATATTTAGAGTTTTAATACTACATTGGTTCCTACAATGAAAATGTTAATTCTGCTAATATGAGTCAGCATGAAAGTTAATAAATCTTTCCTTTTGACCACTTTCAAATTCTTCGAACACCCTTCTGTAAATCAGGTCAGAGAGAAAATTACTTAACCCCTAAGGAAACTAAGGCACAAAACCATTTAGTAATTCCATGAGTTTTCTGAAAAAGCATGACTTCAGTCAAAATATAAAATCATGACTCTACCTTCTACCCAAGGCTCCAGGCACTGCTTGTCATGGATTAAAAGATTAAACAAACGAAAAGCAATGTTAACTCATCCATTCCAGAAAATTTCAAGAACATGACTTCCATAATGCCTATTTACAGCCAAAGGCCCTTTCTTAGTAAATATCATTAATAGACTCATCTAGAGTCATAATTCATCTGATGAGCCAGTTAATTATTAATTTTCATACATCATTTCATTTCCTTAGGCTACATTTAGCCTTTGTTACATTTTCCATTTCTTATGCCACAAGCACTTCTTACTCTGCATAGAAAACCTGATAATGAGGCACAAAATACTGGCCAGCAAACAAACTGCTTCTGACTCTACTTCTTATATATCTGTCTAAGCTATCTACAATAAGAGTTTTTATTGATCCTTTTTATTTTTTCCCTTCGGGTTCATGACTGTATAATTTCATTAATGCCGCCTTTCCAACATCGCTGCCTTGATTGTTAATAGGCCCGTGCTATTCCCATGGGCTTCTCTTGTTACAGCTTTTGTAGCCAGAAGAATATAGAAATGAAAAGCCTATTGATAGATAATATAAGTTATTCTCATGCACGGCTGCAGTGTGAAGCACATTTTGCAATTCAATCGAGGACAGATAGAGCTGAATGTTCTTAGATCCTAGGAGTTCATTTAAATAAGCAGAATGTACCTTGTCCTAACACAGGTGACTGACTCCTCAGAAAAGATTGTATAAACAAAAACCAATCATGTAAGTCATTTTATTGGCAACAATATAAACACAGCTATATTAGATGTCACCAATAAATCAAAATTATTCTTGTCTGCAATTTTAACAAGAGGAAAGTGCAAACATGTGCCTGTGAAACTGGAGGATATTATAGAGGAAATATATTGGATGTGTACAATATTATTTCTCCAAATTGAAACTGGAGGATACTATATCATGATATGATAACCCATAACAAGGTAGAGTTTGATCATTTCTGTGGTTCCATAACTTTATTCATGAAACTAACAAATTCATAGAATTTACAACGGAAGTTACACAGAAACATAACTGAGATAATTCCTCATTATTGAAATGTGGAGGAGAAAGTTAGGGAGGTTACACCTAATAACTAGTATGTGCAGACCTATTCACTTGGGTACTCCCAAGGCCTAACGTTGTAATTCTAAGAAAATGAATATATTTATTCTGAACACCAAGATGTACAAATGTTACTAAAGCAATATAATCACCAACAAGATGAAATAAAAGAGGTTTCACTTATGAGTTATACCAATTGAAAAATATGAATACAATTTAGTGTCCTCTGCAGAGATTCTTCAAGACCATTCTTCCAAAGACCACTCAGAAAAGATAATGTAATGAACATGAGGGAGCTCACCTAATAGAAACTCTGACTTTTGTTTTATCTGTGAATTCAAACCCTTTGCTATCTAATTAGAGATATACATGTTTTAACTTTTCATTTTTATATTTTATAAAATGTTCTCAAAAATTAAAATAATCTTTTCTAAGTTTATAGAGTGAAAGGACTGGCCATATCACTTTAAATTTAAATTAATGACTATGACATTCAAAATATGAGTAGTAAATATGAACAGGACACAGAGGAAAGAAAGAAAGGAGAGAAAAGGAAGGGAGTAGGAAAAAAAGAATGACCACATCCAATTCAGGAATTTATACTCTTAGTCAATTTTCATTTAAAAATCAGAAGCAGCATTGAGAGCCTTCCATACAATGATAGTGGCTACAGATTGCTGAAGGAAATTCAGGACCTTCAGGAATATACTGCTGGAGGGCAGTATTAAAAGTTCAATAACCTCTCTTAGAATCTACTTTCCACTCTTCAGTGCATCTATATAACTTTCATATCCTCCTAGTTTACTAAATGTCACTACTTTCAGTAGTAATTACTTAAAAGTGTTTCATTTACTTTGCCCCAGTCATTAACTCATCAATGAGTACAGAAAGGTCTAGAGAGCCATGGTCCTACCAAAAATGGCAAGGGAGAAGAGGAAAATTAGGGATTTTCTCGGTCAGCTATAAGAAATCCCACAAAATGAAAATGAACTTGGAACCAAAAAGATTTTTAAGAAAAACATAAATAGGTTCAGAAAGTACCATGTCTTGGGCCCATAGACTATAAGTTCCTACATCTACGTTCAATGAAGTATTCATTTTAAAGTAGTGTTTTTCAAACTGGACTGCAATTCACTGGTGGTCCATGAAATTAATTATTCAACAGAGAAAGCATTATTTAATGAAATAGGACTACTAGAATAAAATAGAAGCTATTAGAGTACATCAAATGTATTAATGGTGAAGTATCTGTTTTACTTCAGTTATTTGTAGGTATACCTATCTGCCCATTTGTATGCATACACGTCTTCTGGGTAAGACAAAAAATAAATCGTAGGGTGAGTCACAGTCAAAACAGCATAAAAGTCACTGTTAAAAAGCAGTGGACTATTTGGACTACTTGTCTACCCAAGTACTTACCAAGAACAGCTGGAGGTAGAGACAGAGTTGAACAGTCAAAGTAAAATAAATAATAAAATATAGCTGGAATGAAGAACAGAAAAGATTTAAGGGTTTGACATTTTTGGCTTTATAAAACATAAGGATTCAATGATACAAACCTTCATTCCTACCACTGCTATCTTTCACTGTGCAGTAAATATCAATTGATCCATTGTGCTCAATAAGTAATAATTGATCAACCAACTGACAGAATCAGGATCAAAATTACCGAAAATTTTGGATCTTCTTCATTGCAGTGGACAGGTAACTTTCCCTGGAATAAAACCCCCCTCTTACACTGCTAAAGTGGATAAAGTTTAAATTAACACACAATGTCTTTGAGAACTGAGTCTTTCAAAATGTGTTCTTAATATGAGTTAGCCATGAGATTCTGAAAAGAGGAATGTGAAATGGAAAAATGAACACATTCCCGATGATGTCACTGCTGAATTAATTACCTGAATTGCAAAGAGTGAATAGCACATGGCCAGGGTTTGAGACACAAAGGCTTCTTCTTCAGAAATATAAAAGTAAAATAACTGGCTGGAGATTTTTCTTTCAAGAAAAAAAAAAAAAAAAAAAAAAAGCCCATCCTCACACAAGAGGGTACATAGGGAATAAAATGTGGCAAATGAAAAGAGCATTCATTATCCTTTAGTCTGTATAACTAACTACTCAGTCCACATGACTAGGTATTTGCAAGGCTAAAGATCACAATCCTTTAAAAAGGGTAACAAACATTTATCTATGGAAGATTCTAGAAATAAAATTTATCACTCCCTAAACCAAATACTCAGGCATCTTATTGTGTTCCCATCACATATGTAACTGAGTGATTTTTTTCCTTCAGCATGGTTATTGTATAAAAGTGACCAATGTAACTATTTCTGGCTGTTGGTAGACAGCAGTTTTACAGAAGTTAAATTATGTTCACTGACATCACTGCGGAAGTATGAACGTCCACAACAATGACTAGGCCCTTAACCAACATGACAACATATTTATTAAAAAGATTTTTTGAAAACCTCTGTGAATGACTCAGCCAAGTTACAGACAGAAGTGGAATCTATCGGTCATGCTGAAAAGGTTGGGAAAACATTAATCCATTTCTTCACACACAAGAATAACAAGAATTCATAACTAGCCCTAGCATCTGGTTGGTTTTCTGTGTACAATATTCAGCAGGCCTACAAAAGAAATTTGATGGAGCTGGCTTAGAACTTTAGAAATCACTGATATTCAGAAAGTCTGATCTCCTTATCATGGAGCATAGGACAGGTTATGATCTTGCACTGTGACATCATCTGCCCATCTGCAGTTCAGCAAGGCTTGCTGCACCTGAAGGAACATGCAGTCATTCTTGTTCCTGGCTTTAAAGAGATCACGTCAGACAAGGCTGGCCCCACCAGCTTTCCTTGACTCAAGTCTGCCCTCAGCTACTGAGAACCTCATAATTCAAGTTTTACAAATTCCTTGATTTTCTTCCCAAAGTGGAACATGATTGCATCTTTGTTTCTGTTAATTCTACAAATTGCCTTAGAGTCCAGCTAGATGGTCTTTCCCCTCCTCCTTTATTTTGCTCTCTTTTCCCCCAAATCCAGATCCTACTTACCCTCTAAGCCCACTCCAAATACCCACTTTAGGCCCTCCTTGATCCTTTTTTAGTCTCTACAAATCTGACCTGTAAAATGGGGATAATGTAATGCTACTGTGCATAGTTCATAACATTACAGAATAGTAGGCCAGGCATGGTGGCTCACACCTGTAATCCCAGTACTTTGGGAGGCCAAGGGAGGTGGATCATCTGAGGTCAGGAGTTCCAGACCAGCCTGATCAACATGGTGAAATCCCCATCTCTACTAAAAATACAAAATTAGCCGGGCATGGTGGCACATGGCTGTAATCCCAACTACTCTGGAGGCTGGGACAGGAGAATCACTTGAACCTGGGAGGGGGAGGTTGCAGTAAGCCGAGATTGTGCCATTGTACTACAGCCTGGGCAGCAAGAGTGAAACTATGTCTCGAAAAAAAAAAAATTACAGAATAATAAATGAGAATCCACATCACATGCTTAGCACACTGTTCAGTACATGAAAGGACCCTATAAATGTTATTTTACTCTACACACCTCTCTTTCAACATTCATAACTTTCTACACTGCATTACAGTTTTTTGCCCGTGTTTCATTTCCCTGTCTAAATTCTAATTTTATTGAGTTCTGGGGTTACAGATAGTTTATCTTTGAACTTTCCCCAGCCCTTACATGTACATAGATTGTTTTATACCTATATATTTCTATTTTTCACCATACATTTATATTTATGCTACATCTATATATTCACATACATTTATTCTATTTACATTGTTCATTCTGTACACTGATATTTCATACTGAAAAACGTGGCATAAGTGAAATACACAATTATACCCCACATCTATAATTTATTGCCTGAATAAATACAAGTGAGGTGTGACCATAATCATGAATCCCATGGCTTATGGAACCAGTTTAATTACAGTTGCAAGTTTCCTAGTCTATTCCTTTCTCTACTAGGAAAATGTAGCACAAAAATTATATTCCACTTTTCTGGGTAGGCATTTTATTCTTGCCTTTATCTTGGCCTACTGGTGAACAATGAAAAATCCCAGCTAAAAGTTGCAAATGAACAGTTCAGTACTGAAACCAGGCACTTTTTTTTTATTATTATGGGGGTTGCTGCCCCTCACCAAGGGACTGTGAAATACACTCTGGGTTGCCTTAGTGGAAGGAACTCCTCTGAATTTTCCTGCTCACCTACACTGGTGTCACATTAGACATTTCACTTGTGTCTGTTTGGTCTCCCTAACCAGACTGTCATCAGAATATAAATATGGCTTCAGTTTGGTTAGTGTTTTTCCTTAATTCTATCATATTAAGTAATGCCTCACTAATTTCTGCAAGCCAGACTGTTTCCATCATCTTTAAAGGGGGAGTCCAAATTATTTGACCTAATAAAAGGTTGTTGTGTTGAGCGAAAGAAGCCAGACCCAAGAGTGCATATTGAATTATTCCATTTACATAAGATATTTTTTAAAAACAGACAAAACTAATCTATCTGTTAGAAACCAGGGCAGTGGTTACCTTAGGCAGAGGTGGTAACTGGAATGGAGTGTGAGAGATGTGTCTGGTGTGTTAATAATGCTCTGTTTCTTGATCTGGAGGCTAGTTATGTGGGTGTGTTCCACTTGCAAAAAAATGCATCAAGCTTAAGATAAGTGTGCTTTTCCATAAGGATATCTTATTTTATCTCAATAGAAAATTTGGCTTTTGTGTCAACTCCGCCTCAAGTAAGTGGGAAACTACAAAAGCTGGGGACTTGGGCATCTTTTAATCAAACTATGTATCAATGTCATTTCAAAGGTTTTGTTATGTGTGATCTTCCTTGAATGAGAATGGCAACAAGTTTTTTTAATCACACAGATTTCCTATGTGTCTTTTTTCTGCAGTCCTGATACAGTCTATGAACCAACCAAACTTAGGGAAAAGTAAGACAGTTAAGTCCTGTATTTCCACCTTATTTACAATATAATGCCCCCTACAGAAAATAATCATCACAGAAACACAGAAAATGACTTCTCCAGAGATGAGAAATGTGCACGTGATGCCACTTTCTCAGTTATCTCCTTCCAGAAGTACATCTTCTATAATCTGGAAGAAGAGTAAATTAACACTCCAACTCCAAAGATCAATAATTATGATATGAGAGAGACAACAGTGGAAAGAATAAACGTCCTTGGGCTTAATGTACTAGGAGGAAAGAACAGTCAGAGAAAAAAAAAAAAAAAAGACCGAGAACACTGAGCTCTCTTCTGAAATGGCAGAAAGACCACTTTCTCCTGCATAAATGAAGGCAGGGCTGATACAAAACATTTTCTGGCTATTATTTAACCTCCCCTACCCAGCCTATTTTAGCTCAGTAGGAATTTCACCCACTAGGTGGACCTTGGAGTTCATCCACCACCCCAATAAAGATTGCATTATTTGAAGCAATGATCACTTCTTCCAAGCAAACCAACAAACCCTAGGTATTCAACCTCTGATAACCTGCCTACTACTAAGGAACTTCAGTGGAATTAGGGGATTAAAGATGCTGTCCCCAAACTGGCCTAAGGTGACCCAAGGGGAGAAGTTAACAGCAGCAGTTAAATTGATCTACTCATACTCAAGGATTACTCAGTCTTATGGGCAAGAAAAGAAAGCAATTAACAAACTACCAATAAGGAAAGGTATTTTGAAAATAGTGGAAAAAATGCCCCCTACCCTTCCTCTCAAAAGTAACGTCAGAGCTAGTCTGGCTTCACAGACAACTAGTGAAAATATATGAAAACTGCAGTACGGTTATAGATGATCCTTACACTTTAGCTTGTTCTCAATTGGAAAAAAAAAATGCACATAATGTAACACTCTCCTGTCTAAATTGCTTCAAACTTTCTCAAAACGACCTTCATCGTGGTGGATTCTTTTTCTGCAAACCTTTGCAGGTTGCACCTGCTTCACACAGAACCACTGGAAGCAAACTAGGAGGAGACAGAAGAAATAGGAAGGTTTAAACCAACACAAATCGATTTTGTACCAAAAAAATAAGAAGGTTTAGTCTAAAAAGGGAGGGCCAGTGAGAAACAAGACAGAGGGGGAAACAGACACGTCTGGCTAACTCCCAAGGTAGAAATCATGACTCATCAAAGCTTTCAGAAGGGACAGAACCAGACTTTGCATTTGTCTTGAGTTCATCTTCGAGCCAAGAAATGGTCTCTTAACTGGTAACAGAACTTTAAGGGTTTGTCCTGGGTCTGTAACAGCTGGCTGTGAGGTCTTGGGCAAAACCTTTAACGTCTCTGAGGCTCGGTTTCCTCATCAGTAGGTGACTCCAAGGTCCACCCTAGCTTTAATAGTCTATCCTTGAGATTCTCGGTCCCATACTAACGGGAACTGGTCCACTGGGGGGAGCTGCAGAACTTCCTTCTCACAAACTCCAGGGCCCCGGGGCCCCAACTCTCCAGAGATGCTGAAGTCCTCGAGGAAGGTGGTTCTGCCGGCCTCTCTGTGAAACCGGGCCGCGACTGCACGAGTCCTGTCTCTACGGACCCTGCTCCTTGAGATTCCGGAAGTAGCTCCCTACCCCTGCCCCGGGTTTAGATGCTCCAGAGATGAGGGCCAAGCTTATACCAGGGCAGACTAGCGGGGAGCTCAAGGAGGCACACAGAGCAGGGGGACGGAGACCTCAGTCCTTGAGACCGCTCCTGCCAAGAGGAGGGCAGGAGAAGTCGGGAGAGGTGCCGGGAGCCCGCCAGGCGGGGGAGAGGCGTGTGGGACAAGGCAGGAGGAGGGCAGCCCTTATCGGTTCCCTATCCCACTAGCTTCGCTGCCGGGGTCGGAAATCCAGGTTCCTTGGCGCGGAACTAGGGGCGGGTCCGGAGGCGGAGGCGACGGCGCCCGGCGGGGTGCGCGCGGCTGCGACCCCGTCACTCCCCCGCCGCCTCCGCCCCTAACCCTCGGCCCTGTGCGCGAGCGAGCGAGCGAACGCAGCAAAACAAAACAAACTAGTGCCGGCTTCCTGTTGTGCAACCCGCTCCTGAGTAAGTCGGGGGCCGAAAGGGCGCCGCGGCTGGGAAGTCCGGGCGGCCGGGACCCGCGCGCGCTGCCCGGCCCGGCCGGAGCCTGTAGCCCGGAGTAGCCATGGCCGGGCTCACAGCCCCCGCACGCCGGCCACCGGCCCCCGCCAAGCCAGTGTCCTAAGCCTGTGGTTTCCCTTCGCTTCTCGCCTCCCAAACACCTCCAACAAGTCGGAGGGCGCGAACGCGGAGCCAGAAACCCTTCCCCAAAGTTTCTCCCGCCAGGTACCTAATTGAATCATCCATAGGATGACAAATCAGCCAGGGCCAAGATTTCCAGACACTTGGGTGACTTCCTTGTCCCCGAGGTGACTTGTCAGCTCCAGTGAGTAACTTGGAACTGTCGCTCGGGGCAAGGTGTGTGTCTAGGAGAGAGCCGGCAGCTCACTCACGCTTTCCAGAGAGCGACCCGGGCCGACTTCAAAATACACACAGGGTCATTTATAGGGACTGGAGCCGTGCGCAGGACAAAGTCTCCGAGACTGAGACATTTTCCAAACAGTGCTGACATTTTGTCGGGCCCCATAAAATGTAAACGCGAGGTGACGAACCCGGCGGGGAGGGTTCGTGTCTGGCTGTGTCTGCGCACTGGCGGCGTGGGAGGTTATAGTTATAGACCCGGCGGCTGCGGGTCGCCGGGCCGGTACCGGCGAGGAGTGTAGGTACCCTCAACCCGACCACCTCTTGCAATCATAGGGACACCGGCTTGGATGAGACACAGGCGTGGACAACAGTCTTCGTGAATCTCCACAAACACGTGGAACTTGAAAATACAACTACTGCCCCGTGTGTGCGCGTGAGACCTCACGTCACCCCATCAATTCCCACTTCGCCAAAGTTTCCCTTCAGTGGGGGCTCTGGAGTGGCGTGCCCCACGCCCGTCCGTCCTGCCACTTGCCCTGATTGTGTACCCCTCTGCCCCCTCTACTTAAAATGAAAAAAACAAAAACTGTTCCTAATTAGCGAAACTTTAAAACCCTGTTGATCTGTCTTCTACATTGGGCGCTGTTAGGCCACTGACAGGAACACTGTTTGAACCCTAATTGTTGCTATCAGTCTCAGTAAGCGCAGGTCTCTCAGTGACTCTGGGGATTGGGGTGCGCGTATCCTTAAACCCGCGCGAACGCCACCGGCTCAGCGTGGAAAACTATTTCTAATCCCTAGTTTGCGTCTCTGAGCTTTAACTCCCCCACACTCTCAAGCGCCCGGTTTCTCCCCGTCCCTCGCCTGCGAGCAAAGTTCCTATGGCATCCACTTACCAGGTAACCGGGATTTCCACAACAAAGCCCGATGTGCGGGTCCCTTCCGCCGGCCAGCCAGCGCGAGTGACAGCGGGCGGCCAGCCCTGGCGAGGAGTAACTTGGGGCTCCAGCCCTTCAGCGCGCTCCGCGGGCTTTGCCTCCTTCGGAAATGAAAACCCCCATCCAAGCCGGGGGACGGAGCGCGGAAACCCGGCCCAAGTGCCGTGTGTGCGCGCGCGTCTGCGAGGGCAGCGGCGGCAGGGGGAGGAGGAGGCAGAGGCGGGGCGGCTGGACCCTCGGCATCAGCTCATTCTCCCCTGCTACACACATACACACGCAAATAATGTTTCTAAAAAGTTGAGTTGCGACTTTGCGCCTCGCCTGTCCTGTTCATCCTTGTCCTGGGCCGGGGAATGCTTCTGGGGGCCGACCCCGGGATGCTGGCTAATTGCTGCAGGCGGCTTCCGTCGCCGGTGCGACCCTGGACGGCCGCGGATGGCTTACAAGGGGTCCCAGGAGGGGCAGTGGCCGCGGCACTCGGCGCCGGTGCCCGTGCGCGCCGCGCTCTGGGCTGCCCGGGCGGCGCAGTGTGGACGCGGCTGCAGGGAAAGGGGAAGGGGGAAGAGGGAGGGAGGAAGGCGGCCCGGCGAGGAGTGTGGATGTGTGTGCGGCCGCGAGGGCCGGCCTGCAGCCAGCTGCTTCCTGAGTGTGAGCGCCGGAGGGGGAGGGGGAAGAGTGGGGGCGGGCTCGCTGGTCACTAGGCTGGCCAATTCGAAGGCTGAGCTTGTGTCTCCCTCTTGACGCATACACACACACACACACACACACACACACACACACACACACACACACACTCACACTCCCAGTAAGCCAGAAGTCGAGGAATTCCAGAATTCCAGAACAGGGTAATAGCAGGGAGACACTTCGCCTTCTTCCAGGCCTTATTTGTTAAACTGACTTTTATTTTAACATGAAAAGATGTTAGTGTTTAGCCAGGATTTGATGTCAGGTCATAAAAAAATAAATAAACAACAACAACAAAAAATCCGGTAGTAACACAGAGAGAATAACACAGTGAAAAATGGCAAAAGGGTTGCTTTGAAATTTGGGATCGGATGCACATAACAACTTCGAAACTGGATAGGTAAAGCACTAAGGAAGCGTTTGGCATCTTTTCCAAGTATAGGCAGAGAAGAGAGGAAGGTGATGGAAGTGTTGGAAGGGTATAAAATTCCTAACACAGGCAGTTAGGAATGGAGGTATATTCCCTGCATATGTTACATCTACAAAGTGGCACTTTATGAATTCAACATCCTCAGCCTTAAACCCCACCTAAGCTCTGACCCACCATCCCTTCTGCTTGTGTTGATCAGAGCCCTCAAAAGGTTGTTACAAGAAAGTCTACTTTTAGTAGTTCATCACATGTATTGCCACAGATGCAAGGACTTCTATCTTGGGAATCTAGGTATGTAATGCACACAATAGTTGAGAGTATTTTTCACCCTCATGAATTAAATGAGTGAGGATGCCACCAGACACTTTTAGAATTTCACAAGTCCTTATATTCTATTCTATTGTTCCTACTCCAATATAAATTAGCAATCAGGTAGTAGATGCTTTGATCAAGATAGAAGTCCTCAAGGACACAAATGACTTACCCCAGAAAGCCAAAACTAAAAGACTGTTGGCAGTTTTCATTTATCTAATTTCAGTAGGAATATTACTAGGTTTGGTCTATATCCATGATATTAACATAACCAAAAGAAGCCTGGTTTCCACAGTACTTTTTCTTTTCTTTTCCTTCTCCTCGGGACACAAACTCATCAGAATATTAATCACCAGAATATTTGTCAGCATTAGTAGGGGAAGAAAAATAATAAGAGTTTAGGATATGTCATTCTGTCAATTTTCCAGTTTCTCTCTGTTCATCTCTTTTAAATACAAGTATCCAGGCCCAAGATTGGCAATAGATGGGCTCAACCACACATAAGAAAAGAAAATACTCATAAAATGAAGCATGCAGCAACATCACAAAAACAAAGAAACCAAGTGGTGGAAATTGCCATGACTATTCCATTGTGGCTAGTTATTGCAACATGCCTGACATTCACATAAAAACTCTTCCTCATTAACTCCAGCCTTCAGGAACAGAGCAAGATGGGAACACTAACCCTTCAATGCATCATGGGAACTTCTGTTCATCAGATTCTTGTACTGTACAACAACTGCTCCCCAGGAACAAGACAAGCCTGGGTGGAGGCTGCAAAAAACCTTTCCAATGTCCCTTAAATATCATTTCAAATACGATGGTTTTGATGCATAGACTGGTATCCTAGGGGCTTGCAGAGCTTCTAAAACTTCCCAAATGATGGGAACAGCTTAGCTGGAAAAGAAAAAATATATAGTGCTACACCCAACTTTAATCAATGGCTCATGGAAAAAAACACTGGGAAAGTTATGAGTCATTGACCTGGAGATCCCCAAAATCTCTTCATTTATAAGAGCCCAAGAGTGGGAATGTCATTTTATTTAGGTGTGATTTTCATGAACATCTAACATTCCTAAAATATTTACCATTAAAGAGGTATAGTGCTTTGGTTGGATTTTTTTCTTTTCTTTTCTTTTCTTTTCTTTTTTTTCTGGCCAAGAATGTAGATCTGCAATGTTCTTATATTCCATGGGTTATAGTAAAAATGCAGTTGTAGTTGTACCAATACAACCCTGCAGTGACTCAGAATGAGATCTGTACCTCTTCTGGGCTGAATTGGTCAGCAGGGGTGAGGGAGGGTGGTAATGAGAGACAGTGAGAAAGGAAATCATGTAGTTCGGAAATGATACTCTCCCCTACCCATGAGCTCTCCATTGTGCTTAGGAATCATACTCTGGCAGCCCTTCAGCCAGATAGGTGGGAACTGCAGCCCAGTCTGTATCTTCCCTCTCTAGAGACCTGTGTTGTATGTGCCTCAACCGCTGACTCAGAGCAGCTGACTCAGCAGACAGGCCCCTGCTGCCAGCTCCAGTCCAGTTCTCATTCATTTGAGAAATATTCAGTGAGTACATATTCTGTCCAAGTATTGGGACTAAAGGAATTAACACGTGTATGCATTCTACATGTGAGGATATTACGGAAAACTTTTTGCCCAGTGTCTCAGTTATAGCAAACCCTCAAGAAATGAGGACTCTCTCCATATATTACCTTGTCTAATCCTCAAAACAATTGTATAAGGTGGATATGGATAATCTCCTATTTAGAAGCCAAGAAGTTGAAGCTCAGTAAACAGTTAAAGAGAGTCAGAGACAGAGCCAGATATGCCAGTTTAGAAGCCCCAAGTTCAATCAACATTACTGTACCACAAAATAATTGTGCATGCCCTTTGAATGTGTATAAAACATATTGCAGGTGTATAAAGTGCAAAGCATCTTGTGATCAATGTTGGATGAGCACAGTGAAGTTTGTAGGGAGTGTGGAGGAGGCACGAATAATTTCCTGCAATATGACATGGTAGCCTGGCTGTTTGAGCTGGACTTCAAAGAATGAGCAGAGAACTGATAAGCAGAGGAGACCATTTCAAGTAGAAGAATCAGCATCAGAAGGGGCACAGAAGGCATAAGTCCTGCATAGCAAGCAGCTCACTCAAAGCTAGAGTACAAAATAGAAACATCCACAGTCTCATAGCAATGAAACCCTCCAGAAGGAACGTCCTAACAGCAAAACTTCAGAACTGTTATTTGAGTCACTTTGAGTGCTCTGACAGTAAACTACTTACAAACTTGCAAAGAACTATAATCAGATTCCTACTCCCATAAAGTGTCCATGAAAAGAAACAAGTTTGAACCCCAAAATGCAGAGAAATTGAGCTAATAGCACCAGTGATAGTATGCCTAGCTATTAAAACACAGACGCACACACACACACACACACACACACACACACACACACACACAAAAGCTGGCAAGAGTCCAGTTACGTAGAAATGCAGCGGAAAAAGTTAGTGTTTGCCAACTTTAAGAGGGGGAACTAAATGTGTAAAATGGAAAATTTCCATTTTCCTTTCCTGTGTGAGTAGTACAAATAGTGGAATGCAGCAAATTTCACATTATGTTATCAGTGTGTGATATATTAAGAAAACTTAAGCTGATTTTTCTACTAATTTGTCACAAGTATGTTCAGCCCAGACTCTTTGGCTCACATACACATCAGTGATATAATTTTTATTAAAAAATTGTTATTTACACCTATCACATTCACAACATCATACCTCTTTTCCTTTCTAAAGTCAAAGCTGTAAATATTTTATTCCATACAATATCTCTCAATTTTGTCTAATTGGTGAAATGTTTCTTCCTTTTTTATACAAACCAAGCTGAGATGTATCTAAAATTCAGAGAAAGGTTGATGAGGTATTCCTTGACATATTACTTAGGTATATCTACAAAGAGCTTACCATAACAAACATAAATTCATAGATATATACAATATTCCACAGGCAGCCAGTTCTTCTTTCACAATTTAACATCTATGCTGGCCAACTATATGTGATGTTGTAAAAATTAATTACCTAATCCCAATGCTATCTTATCTATAACTGCCTTCTATAAGTGCCTCTTAATGACCATAACTTACTTTTCTTCATATGCCTTTCATGGCCTCGAAATAGTACTGGGCACTAGTAAGTAACTAATGCTAATCTAATAAATGGATTAATTAATGAGAGAATGAAAGAATGGTTTATTT